TGGGCGCAGAGTGAGACTCCACTTAAAATAATAATAATAATAATAATAATCAAATAAAGTAGACTTCAGAGCAAAGAAGATTATCAGAAATAGGGAAAGACAATATATAATGATAAAAGGTTCAGTCCACTAGTAAGGCATAACAGTCCTAAATGTGCATGTTCCAAACAACGAAGCTGCGAAACATGTGAAGAAAAACTGATGGAACTTAAAGGAGAAATAGATAATCTACAGTCATAGCTGGAGACTTCAATCCCTCTGTCAACAACTGATAGAACAACTAGACAAAAAATCAGCAAAGATACATGTGAACTCAACACCATCAACTAAGATTGAATAGACATTTATAGAACACTCCACCCAACAACATAAGAATACATATTCTTTTCAAGTATCCATGGAATATATATGCTAAGATAGATTATATCCTGAGCCATATAACAAATCTTAAAAATTTTAAAGAGGCTGGGCATGATATCACATGCCTGTAAACCCAGTACTTTAGGAGGCTGAGACAGGAGGATTACTTGAGCCCAGGATTAAAGACCAGACTAGACAACATAGCTAGACCTCATCCTTATAAAAAATTTTTAAAAAATTTAACCAGATATGGTGGCACTCCTATAGTCTCAGCTACTTGGGAGGCTGAAGTGGAAAGATTGCCTGAGCTCAAGTGGTCGAGGCTGCGGTGAGCCATGATCATGCTGCTACATTCCAGCCTGGGTGACAGAGTGAGACCCCCAACTCAAAAAAAATAAAAATAAAAAATAAATATTATATATATTCTTTCTTTTTATACATGCATATTCTCTACTGCAATGGAATCCAACTAGAAATCAGAACAGAAAAATATACAAATACTTGGAAACCCAACTACACTCCTCTAAATAATCCATTTGATCTAAGAGGATGTCTCAAGGAAAATAAAGATACACATTGAACTGAACATACAACATATCAAAATGTATGGGGCAGAGCTATAGCTATATGAAGATGGAAATTTATAGTGCTAAATGCATACACTAGAAAACGGCCTCAATAATCTAAGATCTAGCTTCAAGTCTATAGAAAAAGAGAAATAAAAAAGAGCAGAAATCAATTAAATTGAAAACAAGACTAATAAAGAAAACCAGAAATATCAAATAATTGGTTCCAATAAGATTGACAGTCCTCCAAATATACAGACCAATATCTGGAATGAAATGAGAGCTATCACTACAGGTCCTACAGATATTGGAATGCTAATAAAAGAATAGTATGAGTATTTCTACCCACATAAATTTGACGACTTGCACTGGTAAAATGGCAACACCATTTCTCAAATGCAATCTACCACAATTCACTCAGCATAACATAGATAATGAATAGCACCTTAATTATCAACAAAATTGAATTTGTCGTTTAAAAACTTCCAAAAAAGAAATCTCCAGGCCAATGTAGTTTCACCAGAAAATTCTGCCAAATGAAATTAACGCCAATATCATATAGTCTGTGCTAGCAATTAGAAGAGGAGGAGATACTTTCCAATCAATTATTATTATTTTTGAGTTGGAGTCTCACTCCGTCACCCAGGCTGAAGTGCAATGGCACACTCAACGCCACCCCAGCGTCGACCTGCTGGGCTCCAGTGATCCTTCCGCCTCAGCCTTCCAAACAGTCGGAACTATAGGTGTATGCTACCACACCTGGCTACTTTTTTGATTTATTGTAGAGATGGGGATCTCATCATGCTGCCCAGGCTGGTCTTGAACCCCCGAGCTCAGGCAATCCTCTTGCCTTGGCCACTTAAAGTGCTGAGTTTACAGGCTTGAGCCACCGTGTCTGGCTTCCAATTAATATTTTTATTGTGGTAAAATGTGTATATCACTTTACCATTTTAACCATTGTTAAGTGTGCGATACAGAGTCATTAAATACATTTACAATGTTGTGTGACCATCACTATTTCTGGAACTTGATCATCCTAAACAGAAACTCTGTATCCATTCAACTCTAACTCCTCATTCTGTCCTCCCACTGACCCCTGACAACCACTATTCTATTTTATTTTATTTTTTTGGTGATTAGGAGTCTCACTTCGTTGCCCAGGCTGGAGTGCAGTGGCACACTCATGGCCACCCCAGCATCGACCTATGGGGCTCCAATGATCCTTCCACCTCAGCCTCCCAAGTAGCCAGAACTACAGATGCGCACTACTGCGCCCAGCTAATTTTTTTTATTTTATTATAGAGACAAGGTCTCGCCCAGTTGCCCGGGTTGGTCTCGCCTCGGCCTCCCAAACTGCTGGGAATACAGGCTGAGTCACTAAGCCTGGCCCACCATTCTATTTTCTATCTTCATGAATTTGACTACTTTTTGTACCTCATATAAGTGGAATATGCAATATTTGTTCTTTTGTGGCTGGCTTATTTTCTAGTCTAATGTCCTCAAGATTTATCCATGTTGTAACATGTGCCAGAACTTCCTTCTTTTTTAAGGCTGAGTAATATTCCATTGTATACATTTACACACACACACACACACACACACACACACACACACACACACTCACACACACAATTACCCAACATTTTGTTTATTCACTTGAGTTTCTTCCACCTGCTGGCTATTGTGAGTAATGCTGTCCTGAACATGGGTATACAAATATCTCTTTAGTATCCTTGCTTTTATTTCTTTGGGGTATATAACCAGAGTGGATTACCTATGATAATTCTATGTTTGGTTTTCTTGATGACTAGCCATACTGATTTTCATAGCAGTCGCACCATTTTACATTCCTACCAGTAGCACACAAGGATTCCAATGTCTCTACATCCTCGTCAACATTTTTATTTTCTGTTTCCACCCCCCCTCGGTGGTAGCCATCCTAATAGGTTTCATACCTAGTAGTATCTCATTGTGGTTTTGATTTGTATTTTTCTAACGATTAGTGATGTTAAACATCTTTTTGTGTGCTAAGTGGCCATTTGTATATCTTCTTTGGAAAGGTAGCTCTTCGAGTCCTTTGCCCATTTTTGAATTGGGTGGTTATTTTGTTGCTGAGTTTTTGGAGTTCTTTATATATTCTGGATACTAATCCCTTATCAGATATGTAATTTGCAAATATTGTCTTCCATTTTACGAGTTTCCTTTTTACTCTGCTGATTGTGTCCTTTGTCTTCGTTTTTAGTTATGATAAAGTTCAATTTGGTTTTGTTGTTTGTGCCTTTGGTCATATCTAAGAAATCATTGCCAAATCTAATGTTATGAAGCCTTTCCCCTTATGTTTTCTTCTAACAATTTTATAGGTTTACCTCTCATGTTTAAGCATTTGATCAATGTTTGAGTTAATTTTTGTATACACTGCAAGGGTCAAACATCATTCTTTTGCAGGTGTATATTCAGGTTTTTCCAGAACAGTTTGTTGAAAAGATTGTCCTTTCTCCATTGAATGATCTTTGCTCTTTTGTCGAAAATCAACTGCCCACATATGTGAAGGTTTATTTCTAGCATCTGCTATTCTATCTCACTGGTCTATGGTTTATATTCTATACCAGTACCACACTACTTTGGTTATTGTTGTTTTGTAGTAAGTTTTGAAATCAGGAAGTATAAGTCCTCCAATTTTGTTCTTCTTTTTCAAGATCATTTTGGGTATTTAGTGTCCCTTGAGGTTCCATGAATTATAGTCTGTTTAGTGTGTGTGTGTATATATGCTTCTGTAAAAATACTATTGGGCTTTTGATAAGAATTGCATTGAACCTGTAGATCACTTTGGGTAGTATTATATCTCAATAATAATTCTTCCACTCCTTGAACACAGACTGTCTATTTATGTCTTGTTTAATTTCTTTCATCAATGCCTTATAGTTTTCAGTATACAATTCTTTTGCCTCCTTGATTAAATTTATTCCTAAGTAATTGCTATAAAGAAAATAGAGGCCTGATGCAGTGGCTCATGCCTGTAATGCCAACACTTTGAGAGGCTGAAGCAGAAGGATTGCTTGAGCCCAGGAGTTCAAGACCAGCCTGGGCAGTATAGTGAGAACCTATCTCTACAAAAATTAAGACTTAGCTGGGCATGGTGGTGTACAACTGTAGTCTAGGCTACTCAGGTGGCTGAGGCAGGAGGATCACTGCATGAGCCTGGGAGTTTGAGACTGTTGTGAGCCATGGTCATGTCACTGTACTCCAGTCTGGATGACAGAGTAAGACCCCGACTCAAAAAAGAAAGAAAGGAGAGAGAGAGAGAAATAGAAAGTAGAAAGAAAGATTGAAGCCAGGTGTAGCGGCATATGCCTGTGGTCCCAGTTACTCAGGAGGTTGAGGCAGAAGGATCTCCTGAGCCCAGGAATTCAAAGTCAGCCTGGGCAACACAACAAGACTCATTTCTAAAAAAAAAAAAAGAAAAGAAAAGAAAGAAAGAAAAGAAAGAGAAGAAAAGCAAAGAAAGATCAAGAGTGGCTAGACAGATGTGGAAGTGTGACTTTAGTATGGGTGGTCAGGGAAGCTCCCTTATGTCGCTATGCAAAATCTGGAGCAAAAGTATATCAAGTGTAAAGGCCTTGAATTGGAAACGAGTTTGCCATGCTGACAGAATGCAAGAAAATCAATGCACTTGAAGCAGGGTGAGAAGGAAAAGAATAGAACAACATGAGATAGGTACAGGGACCTAATAAGCACCTATTCTTTTTAAGGGCTGAGATGCTGAAGTTTCTGAAGGTGGAGTGTTCTTGACACTGAAGTTACCCCCAAGAACATTTTTAAATTCCCACATTTGAAAAGATGATGATATAAGCAAATCCTTTCTAGTTTCTATAATACTATTAGTCTTTTCTTCTGTTTACTTTGATCTCAGTATACGGACAAGCTCTTTCTGGGTTTAATATTTTGGGAGCTCACCTAGCTCATGAATTATTTTAAATCCATATTTTTCTTAAACATTATTTTTTGGCCTTCTAACTATGAAAATATCTCATTGACATTGCTTCACTAAAAACCAATCTCTGACTTGTTTTAAAGAGTCGAGCAAAGTCTTCAATTCCTGAGCAAAATTGTCCTCTACAAGCAGACTCTTATTTTCCTCATTTACCAAAAAGGTGAGTACGATTTTACATATCTACATGTTGACTAATTGTGTCTGGGAGATGAATTCCATTCTTAGACTCCATTTTGAGGCTAGGTAGAGGCCTTCTGGGGATAGAGTACTATCATCGCCCTTTCTTTTTGTTTTAGCACCGTGAAAGAAGAAAACATAATGAACCAACGGAGCAAGCAAAGGACAACAGTGGAAAATGCAGATGCTGCTTCCTTGGACTTTAGGACTCATGGAATAAATGCAAAGGAAGGGCTAGTTTTGTGCCCTGCTAAATCGAGCACTTCTTTTGACTTTTTGGAGCTAAATTACGGTTGCAACAAAAATGCTGATACAACCGAAAAATGGCAGACAGGGGCATTTCCAATAGTTGGGGAACCTCTTCAGAAGCATCGAAGTTTGGATTTGAGCTCTATTTCGTTTGGGACATGTAGTCATTCTAAACCTGGAAATGCAGTAGGAAGATACTTTCATTCAAAGGGGCCGATAATACGGACAAAATCGACTCCTTTTGAATTGATACAGCAGAGAGAAACCAAGGAGAAACCAAACATCAAGGAAAATGTTTCTTATTTGGAATCTCAACCATGTGATACTTGTCTTATGGAGTTGCAGGCTCAAAAAGTGACGCATGTTTCTTCAGCAGAACTGAATGATTCACTGCCGAATGATTCTACACACCAAATGTGTAACACCTCTACTGTAAAGCAAGAACCTAGTGGTTTTAGTGCATATTCTTACACGTCTTTAGCAAAAGACCCTTATTTTTCATCACTGCCTCCAAGCAGCACCGGTTCTAAGATGTCTCTTGATGTACCTGAGAAGCAAGATGGAACTGTTTTTCCTTGTCCTTTGTTGCCAAAATCCTCCACAACCCTGCTTTCTTACTGCAGTTTAAAAGATTCCTTAGCACCAAATCCTCCAACCAAAGTTCTCACACCACTGAGCCAAGAGGTGGCTATAGTGGGTAAGTTATTTTTTAAAGTAAGAAATACAGTTTTGGTTTTTTAAATATGGAAAATAGATACAAAGTATTCCATATTTTTATAGAATGTTAAAATATTCTTTCTACCCTTTCTTCTCTGCTTCCTTCTCTTTCTTTTCTTTTCTTTTCTTTTTTTTTTTGAGTTGGAGTCTCACTCCTGGCTGGAGTGCAGTGGCACGCTCACAGCCACCCAACGTTGTGCAATCCTTCTGCCTCAGCCTTCCAAGTAGCTGGAACTATAGGCACGCACTACCACACGCAGCTTATTTTTTAAATTTATTGAAGAGACAAGGTCTCACCAAGTTGCCAGGCTGGTCTCGAATCCCTGGGCTCAGGAAACCCTCTCGCCTTGGTCTCCCAAAATTCTGGGATTTCAGGCTGAGCCATTGCACCCAGTCATGTTCTGCTCTTGTTTTACAACTTAAAGGTATTTTATTTTTCTATACCTGTAATACCTCAGACCTCTCTGAACATCAACATCATTAAAAAAACAAATTCTATTTTAAGGGATTTTAGCAACATTGATATGTGTGCCATCTGGTGGCAATTTCTTATAATAGCAGTTACAATTTTCTGTTTCTTTTTTCTTTTTTTTTTTTTTGAGGTGTAGTCTCACTCGGTCGCCCAGACTGGAGTGCAGCGGCCGCTCCCGGCCACCGCAGCCTCGACCTGCTGGGCTCCGGCGATCCTTCTGCCTCAGCCTGCCAAGTAGCTGGAATTACAGGCACGCGCTACCACGCCCGGCTGATTTTTTGATTTGTTGTAGAGATGAGGTCTCGCCAAGTTGCCCAGCCGGGTCTCGACCCACGGGCTCAGGCAGTTTACTCACCTCAGCCTCCCAAGGCGCGGGATTACAGGCTGAGCCACCAAGCCTGGCTACAATTTTCTATACAAATTCTGGATGTTTTTATAGAAATATCGAAAACTGTGTTACACTATTGCTTTATAAAAAGGAAAAATATCCATATTCTTGGGTTCTGTGTAGAATGAAGAGGTACTAAAATCTTTATGGTTTTATCTCCTGTGTAACTGAATCTTTGGTATGGGCACATCAAAGTGTTTTATAGTGGTTTATTACACATTCTGCATAAAACAAAAGGAAAGAATTATATTAAAAAAACCATAGCTTCCTAAATTATTATACAGTGTTTTATATTATGTTAACTGATACTCAGTGACTCAATCCAAATACTTTTGGGCTTTTAAAATTCCGAAGAATAACAAAAACCTCCTGAACAAGAGAATTTATGTTGCTTTTTCCTGAAATGAACAAGTACCAATTTAACTATTGTTAAAGGTGTTTAATGGAATTTAAGTATAAATTCTGTTATGTTTATATTTAATATTAGCTTATAATACTTTGGATTGTTCTAATTAACAATTCTGATTATATTTCTGACAATCCGGATAGCAGCTGCTCCAAGGATAGATGATGAAATTCCACCTCCCCTTCCTGAACGGACGCCAGAATCATTTATTGTGGTAGAGGAAGCTGGTGAGTACAGTTCAGTAAGTATAAAATAAGTATGGATTAACAAGATTACATCTTAGGTCCAGTCAGCGTTTTTAATGTGCTATTTGCTGAGCAGCATTTGATGTCTAAAAGATTGTCACCACTCCTAAGAACTGGACCATATTCATTTTCCTCCAGGAGACTTCTCACCAAGTGTTCCCAAATCCTTATCCTCAGCTGTGAAGGTAAAAATTGGAACATCACTGGAATGGAGTGGAACATCTGAACCAAAGAATTTTGATGACTCCATAAGACTTAGACCAAGCAAGGTCAATACTTGTTTTTCTGACTCTACTCATTTGGATTCAACAGACTATAGTTCTCTTTCTGGCGTTTTTAATATTATCATTCAACAAATACTAAGCACATTGTAAATTTGAGACAACATGCTAGAAGATATGGGGATATAAAAGATGTATAAGTCAATTCTTGCTTGTAAAAGCATAGAGTCTAGTTGTGGATATATAGAATGTGCACAGAGGTCTTTATTTTTGTGTATGTTCATTATAACAGGGTAAATATGCCATATGTAAGATAGAGAAATTCAAGTGTGGGAGATCCCTTCGGGTTGGAAGTAATCAAGGAAGATTTCATGAAGGAGGACATATCTGAGCTGATTCCTGAAGTATAGTTAAGGCAAAAATAAATGTTTCATAGGTAGGTAGCTTGTTCACTGTAGTCATTTGGCAGGCTGTGTCATATTAGCTGTGATAACACGTTATAGGAAATGATTTCTTTTGAATGACAGATGTGCATGTTTTTTAAGTGTAGATGTTTTAGAATAATGTTTCCTGCTTCTGGAAGAAAAGTCTACACTTCTAATAAAGTTATGTGCATTTCTATATATTCTGTGAACCAATTATCTTTTTTGTGTGTGTGTTGGAGTCTCACTCTGTCGCCCAGGCTGGAGTGCAGTGGCATGTTCACCGCCACCCCAGCGTCGACCCACTAGACTCCAGCAATCCTTCCGCCTCAGCCTTCTAAGCAGCTGGAACTACAGGCATGTGCTACTACGCCCGGCTAATTTTTGATTTATTGTAGGTCTCGCCAAGTTGCCCAGGTGGGTCTCGAACCTGCAGACTCAGACTCAGGCAATACACTCGCCTCGGTCTCCCAAAGTGCTGGGATTACAGGCTGAGCCATCGAGCCTGGCCGAACCAATTATTTTAGAACTTCAGAGATCAGAAAAGTAATTAACGGCCAGGCATGGTGGCTCATGCCTACAATCCCAGCACTTTGGGAGGTCGAGGAGGGGGATCGCTTGAGCCCAAGAGTTCAAGACCAGCCTGGGCAACATAGCGAGACCTCGTCTTTACAAAAAGTTTCTAAAAAATTAGCTGGGGATGGTGGCTTGTGTCTGTAGTTCCAACTACTCCAGGAAAGGTGGGGAGCTGAAGATGGGAGAATTGCCGGAGCCCAGGGGTCAAGGCTGAGGTGAACCATGACTGTGCACTTCAGCCTGGGTGACAGAGTGAGATCTCGACTTAAAAAAATAATTGCAGCCGGGCTCGGTGGCTCAGCCTGTAATCCCGCGCCTTTGGGAGGCTGAGGTGAGTGGATCTCCTGAGCCCGTGGGTTCGAGACCCGCCTGGGCAGGCGAGACCTCATCTCTACACTAAAATCAAAAAATTAGCCGGGCGTGGTAGCGCACGCCTGTAATTCCGGCTACTCGGAAGGCTGAGGCGGAAGGCTCGCCGGAGCCCAGCAGGTCGAGGCTGCGGTGGCTGGGAGCAGCCACTGCACTCCAGTCTGGGCGACAGAGTGAGACTCCAACTCAAAAAAAAACAACAACAACAAAAAACTGCTGTAAATGTTAAGGATGTCTTTTCATAATTCTGCACACTCAGAAATTAGGGAAGATAGGGTCTATGGTTCATAACTATCTCTATAAGTATATGAAATATAATCTAAAAAATGCCATTTTTTTGCTTTTGCATAATTTGTAGTTCTTATTTCATTTTTCCTTTCTTTTTTCTTTTAGAGTGTAAAACTCCGGAGTCCCAAATCAGGTAAAAATTTATCTTGGATTTAGATGACATTTAGCCCTAATAGTTTGTATTATAAGAATGGCTCATTAAGTTTTAAGTAGTTTGCCTCAGGAGGCTACTTGATTCATTGGTATCAGAGACTGGTTTGTGAAAGATTATTTTTCCACAGATCCAGGGGTGGGAGTGGGGGTGGTTTGGGGATAATTCAAACACATAACCTTTACTGTGTACTTTATTTATATTATTATTACAATGTAATATATAATTAAATAATTCTACAACTCATCATAATGCAGAATCAGTGGGAGCCCTGAGCTTGTTTTTGTGCAACTAGACCATCCTGTCTGACGGTGATGGGTAACAGTGACACCCGAAATGTGTTGCTTATGTCCTGTCTACTCCGTAATCTCTTTTTTGTTGCTGCCATTGCAGAAAACCCTGCTTCACAAAAATAGATGTTGGAAATGGAAGCAGACTTTTCAGTGCTTTTGTGGCAACCTCAGGCTATTCCACCTTGACTTTACTCCAGAACATATGGAGATTTGAAGTTGTCTCAAACATACTTTTAAGGCCACCGTCATTTGTGATCTCAAGTAGATGATCCTCTTCTAGCATGGGACAAAGTCGATTCACTTGGCTTATTCACAAATGGGTCATGGATTCATTCCTTCCCAATTCAAGGGTCTTTGTGGTTGGGAAGTAATGCTCAAACTCTTTTGAAAGCTGAGATAGGTGGCCAGGCATGGTGGCTCACGTCTATAATCCCAGTACTTTGGGAGGCCAAGGTGAGAAGATTGCCGGAGCCCATGGGTTCGAGACCAGCATGGGCAACTTGGCAAGGCCTTATCTCTACAATAAACCAGAAAAATTAGCTGTGCATGATGACACATGCCTGTAGTTACAGCTATTTGGAAGGCTGAGGCATAAGGATCACCTGAGCTCAGCAGGTTGAGGCTGCAGTGGCCACGAGCATGCCGCTGCACTCTAGTCTGGGTGGCAAAGTGAGACTCCTACCAAAAAAAAGAAAGCTGAGATGGGTGATCATGCACCAGCTGGGAGAAAGAAGACCCTGGCTCAGTCTCTTTCAAAAATGTGTATAAAAAAATTCCAGTGTTCACTCGTCAGCCCCATAATTCCAGTCTGGCTTTGAATGTAGCCACTTTATCTGCCAACCTGAACACAGTTGTCATTCTCCCCTGAAGAGACAATGAACTCCCCGGAGTTCGTTGAGCAGGTTCAATATGTCACACAAGCAAGCAAGTTTTTAGGCCCCCATTCTGTGTCACTGAAATGCGCTGCCAGTGGTGACTGTTTTTCTAAAAGAAACCTTGGAGTGGCTTTCATGACTCAAAAACTCTAGCCAATGATCTACCTTGAAAAAACCATCTCACTTCTGGGGATGAGAGAAGACACTTGTACTCTGTGTCCATCACCTCACAGAGCTGTATGAACAGACATGATGCTAGGGGCATGTACTTTAATGTGGTTGAAAATTTTAATCACATCCTACAAAACATTGTTAAGTGCAGGTGGCATTTTTTGGCTAGCCAGCATTTCTCTATGGATGACACAGTGCATAGACTCACGTTCAAAAGCAACCTCTGAGACTAGAGAGCCATCCGGTCATGGCAGCCGCTCTGTCCAGGCAGATACCAACACAAAATGATCAGTTCAGTTTACCTGATATGTAATTATTTAAAGACTTGAATAGTTCTGCAGCCGTGGTATTGGTGGGCAACAAAAGTACTCATAACATATCCTCGTGAACATCCTCCTGAAAAATCTATCACACAAAACAAGCATTGTTGCCTTATTGTCAACAGTGGTAGACTTGTCAACCTGGATTGTGTACCATGACTCATTAATCCTCTGCTAAATATCCTCTGCTGTTTCATCAGTTCATCTAGTTATGGTGCTAGTCAAAAGAGGAACACATGCCATCTTTTGAAATGCAGCCTCTCCTAAAAGTTCACAACAAATGTCCTTAGCAGCAGGTAGGAACAACTCTTCAATAGTAAAGGGCTTCTTAGCTTTAGCAATGTGGTTAGCTATTAAGAATGGTGCTCTCAGTACAGACACATTGATGAAGTGATGACCTTCAATAATTACTTCTGTTCTTTGTGTTCACATTTGTTTCTTTTGAAAAACTCCAGAGGCTTGTTTTTTTTAATGCAGGGTGCTTGGTCTCCATGTGGTAAAGCAGTTTTGAAGGTTTCATGGCTTCACTGGATACCTGATTCTCACATATTACACAAAGTGGTTTTGGAGAATGTGAATCAGTTGTTGCAATGAACCTGTAATTTAAGTATGGCTATTGGTGTTTTCTTTTAAATACAGCTTTCTTTTTGCTGGCAATCTTAGAGTCTTCTGTGGTCTCATCATTGGGTCTTTCCCCCTTTTCAAAGAAGCTTGCAAGTGACTTTTTTTTTTTTGAGTTGGAGTCTCACTCAGTCGCCCAGACT